CACACACACACACACACACACACACACACACACACACACACACACACACACACACACGCGCACACACACACGCACGTACACACATCCCCTGCATCGCGCTTACAGTATAGATATGAATAATGTGATCTCGCATTTACAGAATCCTTGCACGCCAAATAATAATTTCCCATACAAACCTGCGCTAATGGCTTTACGTCAGTACCCAGCCACTGTAACGTGGAAGCAACCTCATCGAATATGCTGTTTATAGAATATGCTGATGTAATTTAATTTACACTCGTATAAGCCAATAAAACATGTCTGGGTTTGGGATGAATAATTTCACATTTCCTAAAAGGATGAATAACGGATTTAATATAATAATACGAGTTGTTTTTTCACATAATGTTTCTTATTTTATTTGGCGGTTTGTATATCGCTTATAATTTTCAACATATTGATCAGCTTTCTTTGTCTCGTTGTCTCTCAACTCTCCCCCTCCTCTCTGTCTCTCCACCACCCCCTCTCTCTCTGTCTCTTCACCACCACCCCTCCTCTCTGTCTCTTCACCCATCCCTCCTCTCTCTGTCTCTCCACCACCCTGTGGGGCCTGTGGGGCCCACAAATTTAAAAATCCACCACAAATGTAAAAACATTGTAGGGCCTACCTACAAATGTCAAAATAACCACAAATATCATAACATGTCAACCGCAAATGTAAAACATTTCGCCCACAAGTGTAAAAATCTGTTTAACCACAAATGTAACAACATTTCGCCTACAAATGTAAAAATTTCCATTTATACCACAAATGTCAAAACATGTCAACCGCAAATGTGAAAACTCATTGCTTGCGTAATACTGATGTATAAAATAATAAAATAAAATAAAATGAAATAAAATGAAATAGAATGAACTAAAATAAAACAAAATAAAATAAAATAAAATAAAACAAAAATAAAATAAAATAAAACGAAACATACATACACCTCCAGTAATCCAATACACTGCATGAGGGGTGCGGAAAACAAATATATTTTATAAATATTATATATATATATTTTACAATTTATGTTCCGGCGGCAGCAGCTAGAGACATTTGAAGAAAAAACTTATTTTACCTTGTCCGTAGTAAGTTTTATTACAATGCAATAATTAATAAAAAGAGAGGGGAATTTGAAACTGTTTAAAATAAAATTTGTTATGGACTCGCCTCGGTGCTAGGTCATGTGACATGGGCATCATTTTTGTGACACATATGACAAAACCTCACACACACACACACACACACACACATTTTGACATTTGCGGGCACAATGTTTTTGCATTTGTGGTTATTTTTACATTTGTGGTGGATGTTTACATTTGTGGGCCCCACACACCCCTTCTCTCTGTTTTCCGCGTGCGTCATTTCTATTTCTCCCTCTCCCTCACTCTCTATCTATTTATCTTGCTCTAATTCTCTCTCCCTCACTCTCTATCTATTTATCTTGCTCTAATTCTCCCGCCACTTTTTTTCCTCCGCGACAACTGATCTGATAGAAACATAGCTCCGGGCCTCTTCGATCACGTGACTGTCGTTCCTAATTAACGAAGTCACTTTTCATCTGCTTCTCCGGCTCCTTCCTCGGTCGGCGTGAGGTCACCGACGCCTACCTGGTTCGCCGCTACGTCCGCGCCCCCACGCGGTGTGCACAGCTCATCGTCTCTCACGCTGATGATGGCTGCCGCCGACGCAGTGCCGCCCTCTGTCGCTGATGATTTATGATCGGCAGACGAAACGGGCACGCAGCAACCGCAGAAAGGAAAGCACTGTCCGCTAGAGGTCGTCTGTTGAAGAGCCGCATTCATGCTGCCGACAGAGAAACCGCCAACAGTTCAGGACTATATGGAGAAGCTGATATTAGAGAAGAAGAAACAGAGAGAGAGAGAGAGAGAGAGAGAGAGAGAGAGAGAGAAGAGAGAGAGAGAGAGAGAGAGAGAGAGCGAGCAAGAGTCCGAGGATGGAAGCAAGTTACACAGAGAGGCACATGACTTTATACATGTAACCTGATGACGATTCATGCTGTGTTTAGGCAGTGTACACCTCGAATAACACACACACAATTACGCGCGCACGCACGCACACACGCACGCACGCACGCACATACGAACGCACGCACGCACATACGCACTTCGTTTTTTAATTATAAATTAGCTGCTGAATAACAACTAGTGTCGCCCACCGTTGCCCGACGTTGTACCCTCCCTACACACATTGAAATAAACGTACATCAATTCAATATAGGAAATTACATGAACATGAATGCGCAACAGTGCAACCTCTTAAATAGCTCTGGAAAAACATGACCGAGTGACCGTGTTTTGCCCTGTACTATCGTTACAAGGAGCAGCAGACATGTTATTATTACAAGATTTTGCCTTGCAGGCAGAGAACATGTTTAATTCGATTTGAAGCGTACGTAGCACTTATACGTGAGCTTATCTCCGTTTGCAGAAAGCGCATAGAGTGCCAGATGAGCTTACTCAGACTGACTTTAGATTCAATACACGACCATTTTCTTGTACACAAGCAGGGCCGGATTTAGACATGTGGAGGCCCCTGTGCAGCCTTCAGTAGTAGAGGCCCATCCTACCTAAGAATACTAAAAACTACGTTGACTAAATCGACGTTGAGATGGATGACGTTAGATTTTGGATGTTTGTCTGCCGACGTGTGCTGAGCAATTACGTAAAACGCGCGCAATATGGGTTTGATTGATACGTGCGTGTCGTTCTGGTCAGCCTACATTTTTCCATACTAATTTTTTTTTCATGAAATATGTGGAGGCCCCTGGTTGTGGAGGCCCCTGGGCAACTGCCATATATCCCGACCATACCCCCCATTTATAGCATTAAAGCATCACTTTCACGGTCTCCGTAGAGTATTAAAGATTTATTTCACATTTCTGCATAAATTAAGTATTATAAACTCATAAACATTATAGCTCACATATGGTCTGTGTCGCGCGCGTGTGTCTCTGTCTCTGTCTCTCTCTCTCTCTCTCTCTCTCTCTCTCTCTCTCTCTCTCTCTCTCTCTCTTTCTCTCTCTCTCTGCCTTTCTCTCTCTCTTTCTCGCTTTTTCCCTT